AATGTAAGATTTTGTGTGTGTGTTATCCATGTAGTAGGGAATATCTTTTTTGTCTCTCCTTGATGATGATATAAATGTCATCACACGATAAAACCTTAAATATGATAGTTCGAGTGTTCGATATATTATCTTGAGTACATTTATAACATTTTGAGCGCATATGTGATATTTTGAGTGTATAAGTGATATTCGAACGTAAAATTATATTTACGTATAATTGAGATATTCAATTAAAATGTATAAAATTTTAATATAGGAAGTAATTGTGAATAATAAGTGAATTCCCGAGCATAAGATTGTTAAGTTGAAAATATTGTGAAAAATTATAAATAAGTTTTGATATGAAAAATATTAATATTGCGTCTATTACATGTTTGTGTGTGTTTGTATGATATCTAGTTGGAGTCTTGAAATAATATAAATATTTATTAAGTTGTAAAACTCATTAAATTTCACTATGATATTTTTCGAAATATAAATAATCAGAAGAGTTACAAAACAAGTGAATGACACGCGAATGTGTCCTAATCAGTGTACATTTTGTTCTTATTTTAGTTATCACATCGTTTTATTAAACTTTATATTTTGACATCATATTTTATATATATAAATGATGTATGAGTTGTAGACCTCGTTAACTCGAAAATGATATGAGTACGTCTATACCTCTTTATTATAACATGGTATGTAAAATTTATACGCGTATTAAAAACAATAAATACTAAACAAATAGTTCTTCAATTACCATATATTACTTATATTATTAGATTACTTAACATGCACAAAAAATTTTCGTAATCGAATATAAGAAATTTTAGATAATAAATATTATACAATTAAGCACACGTGTATATATATTATCAAGCATGTGCTTGCAATAATAGTATAACTCGTGACATAGAATAATAATAATAACTAATAAAAATAATTTAAATCAAAATACATTTACATGAATGCTTAGATATGGTAATTCAAATAATCAAAAAATTTAAATATGGCCAGTTAAAAATATATTTATATTAATTGAAATATAAATATTTCATGGTTAGTAAAATGCTTACATGTATGCATAAATTTCTCAAATATACATATATAGACAATTAAGCACGTGGTTTTGATGGTTAAAATACAAGATCACCAAAGTAACAGAAAATAAAATTGTCGCAGAAAATAATAACAATAAGCAATAATAATAAATTCAGATCAAAATATTTTTTGACAGACCACATTGCTGGTAGTACAATTAACCAGACGATGAACTAATTATAAGAAGTCAGCAAGATATGCGAGAGATCTAAGAAAAAGTGGAATGGGTAAACGAGGAGGACAGGTTCAGTACAGAATTACCAAGAAACTGATGATAAAGAGAAAACACTGAAATGGACGATGAAGAGTGAAGAAAAGGATTAAACCGAGTATCTACATTGAATCAGCTCTGAAAAAATCATTGGTCAGCGGTCAAAGGGACCATTTGGTTCGAGCTGCTTGCAGAGTCCGAGATAAGTGAGATAAAGGACTCGATCTTTGGCCCCCGTTCGATGATTCTTGGTGTGCTTGCAGAATACTTCAACTGTTCAAGTGTGCAGCAACCCAGCATTGACCCAGAAGCAAAAACAGCCAATTTATGGCTTTCTTCTTCTCCGCTATCACGGGCTTGGCACTGTTTTCCTGCTCGCAATACATGCAAGTTGGCAACGCAGGGTTCATCCAGACGCTGGGAGCCCGATCGTGCATGCTACTTTTGTTTTTAGCTACGAAATCCCACACCTCCACGAACTTCTTCTGTAAATCATATTCAATCTCGTAATGCCTCTCGCATCTTTTGCACTGGACCTCACCCGTTATAGTCACCATCTGTTGGTTTACCAAGTAGTTCAGACTATGGACTGTCGCTCGCTGAGTCGTCGCCCAGGGAAACGGCGCGGGGACTTGCTCGCTCTTTCCCTCGCGCGGACACTGCGTCGGATTCCGACGAGCCCTTACTGGCCGTGACGGTCCCACCGTCTCCTGCCGGTAGACTAACGGGCGATTGGAAGACGTCGTCGCCGAGGTTTCGGCCACCAACGTAGCGATGTAAAGTGAGCGAGCGGGGGAAAGTGGGAGAGGGAGTTCTCGATCAGGCGGTGATGAGCTTTGGGGAAAATACGATTGGGTTTGCGCCATCGAGGGTGACGGTTGCAGCATCAAAGGTGGTGGTGATGGTGGAGGTGGCGGCGGGGACGTGGTATTTCTCTGCTGCTGATCTATTGAAGCTTGTGTTGAGGACCTGCTGTGGCGGAAAGTCAATGAGAGTGTAAGAAAGTCGTCGTTATCGTCTTCATCCGGACGAATCAGTTTCATGAATTGGTACTCATCTTGGCTTTGGGTCCCCCTCCTCTTCCTACTGGTGTAATCTCTCTCCTTGTTTTCCATCTCTGTCTCTCTTGACAGCAGAAGAAATAAAGAAAGTTTAGGGTTTGAAGATCAATAAACAAGGAGGAGAAAGACCGGTTTCAAGAATTCAAGATGGAGAATATCACAGACGGGGGTTTTTATCACGTATATTATTGTGGAGATAAATATGGAGAAACAGAATAATACTTAAATTCAAAATTCCAAGAGGTTGGGTTAGTTATGGATTTGTGAAAAGTCAAATAATTTTGGAGATAAATTTTAATACGATAAATTTGGAGATTGGAATTTCATACGATAAAACTGGAAATAATTTTTTATTTTTTTTATTATTAAATAAAATTTGAGATTATTAATTATTATTAATAAATATACTTTAAATCAATTTTTCAAACTTTATTTATGCCGGTCATTTAAATGTCAAATACATGCATGCATGCAAATTATTTATTATTTAATAAATTAAAATTATTGGATAAAATATTATTAATTTCTTTTTGTGACCCTTTGTATATTGATAATAATATAATTATATATCTTTGACCTTCAATTTAATGGATAGACACAACTGGTTAATCTTACAATCCGCAAATATCTCATACGTTATCTAACGACGAGTCATTTGATTGGACAAAATACCGTTACCACGTTAAATAACACTCATTCTTTAAAAGCTACATTGTTTTAATGTAGTTTATGGATTACGCCCGTACAAACTAATATTTTAGTGTCTAATGGTAGCTAAAGTGTACATTTAATTAAAAAATAAAATTATATTATCATAATCGAAACTTTAAGGAAATCAAAAATATTTTTTTACATGTTAAACAACCACGAGAGTCATAAATGATGTTGAGCGGTAGACAATGTATTGCAACATTTTTACTATTATCAACAATTATAAATTACTATATGGGTCTTTGAAAAAAATGAACCTTAGATTTCGTGGATATTTTGAAATAATAAAAAGACTTTAGACGACTATATATCACCTAACTACTATATTTAACCTCAATTTGATCAGTGGACTAAGAAGATTAGTACAATTAAACTCTTATTTTCGCTATGTTATGCATCTATATTTTTAGTGTCTGCGAGCAAAGGAAATCAGCCATATACTTGTTTCTAGATCTAGAGATTTGCTTGTTAAAAGCCAGAAAGTTACATGTTTATAGACAGAGAAAGTTACATATCACGAGAGTCATAAATGATGTCGAGCGGTAGATAATGTACTGCAACACTTCTACTATTATCAACAATTGTAAATTACTATATTGGTCTTTAAAAAAGATGACCCTGCGGATCTTTTGAAATAATAAAAAGACTTTAACCGATTATATATCACATAACTACTATATTTAACCTCAATTTGATTAGTGGATTAGGAAAATTAGTACAATTAAACTCTTATTTTCGCTATGTTATGCACCTATGTTTTTAGTGTATTTGCGAGCAAAAGAAAATAAGCCATATACTTGTTTCTAGATCGAGAGATTTGCTTGTTAAAAGCCTTGTTCGAAGACAAAGAAAGTTGCATGCTTGCAGATAGAGAAAGTTACATATCACGACGAAGCCAACATTTTTTAATGGATTAGTGATTACAATGTGCAACAAAACTCGTTGGCGGATATAAGTAGTAGACTTCAGAAACCATCAACGAGTCGTAATTATTAATATTACAAAAGTTATATACATATACATGTATGCAATATTGAATTAATTGTTTAATTAATTTCACTTTTTATGATGATGCGCTTTAATACATGCATCTATTAAATTATTTTTTTATAGAAGGCTAGTTTTGTTTGATGATATATCTTAAGATACACACCTACTTATACACACATATATACGAGACACAACATTAGGAATTTAATTCATTGACTCGTTTCGAATAATCTTATTATAATTATTTTTTATTTAATTTATTAGTTATTTATTTATTTATTAATTTGTGCAAAAAGAATATGTCTATGTGTGTATATATATATATATATATACATGTTGACAAATTCAAGATTAGAAGAATGCGATGAATGAGGGGGGAGAGGTTGGTAGTAAGAAGTCCTATACGTGAGTGGTGCATATACACACGTATATATATATATATATATATATGTATGTATATGGTTGTGAGTATCCGATGGAATTCTATGTAATCATCGTGTCATATGTCCAAAACAGATGATATAATGCACCGCCTTGGGTGAAACCATGCATGATTTTTTCAACTTGAGTGAGTAATGGACGTTAATTACAACATAGAAAATGACAATCTACTTAATTATAGTGATTTAAAGTAGTCTACAAAATTTATGGTGGTAAAATAATATATACTTTTTCCTATTATAAAAACAAAATATTTTATTATTTATAATTTATAATTAATAATAATAATATTTTTCTGTCCAAATTACTAAATTGGTATATAATATTTAAAAAAAAAATGAAAAAAAATTAATTTTTCTCATTTTTTAAATTAGTTGCGTATTTATTAAAAAAATTTAACGAATATTAAAATTGTAATAAAAAAATAGCTTAAATGAGATTAAGACTAAGTGATACTATTTTTCACGAGTTGATATTGTAACGATCCCAGAAATTTAAAAAGAAATACATATAATAAATTGAGTGTAGAAGCGAAATAAAAAATTAAAGTTAATATCCATTACACGATAACTCAAAAGTACTAACAAACATCAAAGAGTAAATTCTCTGAAAGAAATACAAAAAACGGAAAAAAATAAATAAAATTATAAAGTATCTAGGGTCTACTCGTAATCTTCTTGCGGATCGGGCTCGGAAACCGGGTCTTCCTAATTTAAAATAGTTAAATAAGAGGTGAGTTATACTAATTCAGTAAGAACATCACAATATATCGTCGTCACAAAAGTAAAAGTTGGTAGAAAATCAAAAACAACCAATGGAGTACAAATTTTAAACAAATTCATTCATCAATAATAAGACTATTTACCGTCTACTTACCGCAGTAAAATTTATAAAAATAATCTATGAAAATAATAACATTATAAATATCATTATTTCATATGCAATCTGCAACATAGTACTTAAAATGGGAGAAAAAAATATTATTATAATTAGAACCGTAGATAACAACTTAATTTCAGTTAGAATTAACATAGGATGTACGAGATCTTTAGCGGACATAAAATTATAAATTACTTATGTTGCCTTAATTTTAATAATTTAATTTAAAAAACGAACTTAATTTAGAATTACATCTTATATTTAAAGAGATTATCGTGCAAATTAGGTCTCTAATCCCGGTATTTTATTTTTTCATGGATTATTAATTTATTTCCAATAATTTTGTAATATTTTTATTTTAAAATTAAATAGTACCGACTTAGAAATAATATGTACACTAATAAATAACTTAAATGATTAAAGATTTAAAATATTTAAAACACTTTAAATTATAAAAATAAGTTTAATGAAAATTAAAATTATTTAAAATAAATTATTATATTTATTATTATACATTGGCGTTATATTTTATTATTTATTAATGTTATGATATGTTATAGTGAAAAAGACGTTACTTGAATCAGTTCATAAAGCACTTAAAGTATGCAACCAGTCGCGCCGAAAGTCCCGTCCAAGGCTTTCAGTTTTTCTGCGTTTGCTTCTGGCTGATTGCGGTCGCCCAGCTGATCCCTCTCAAATTTAAAAGCTTCATTTTCATCTCTCTCTGCAGAATTAGAAGAACCGTTAGGTATGCTTTCTCTGGTTTCGCTTTCATCGATGGCTTCCTCGTTCGTTGACTTTTCCATTTGTGTTTGGTTGCTCAGAAAATTTTTGTTAGAATGAAAAACATTGCAATAGTTTATCTTAGGTTGGCTTGACTGACATTGGGGAAAAAGTTTGATACTCATTTGATGGTACTAAATGAGTACCAATTTTCTGTTCTCCATTATTATCATGGGTTGGGAGAGTACCAAATTGCTGAGGTTAGAAATTTCGTTTCGCAGATTTATCTTGCATAATGGTAAGCTTTAGCAGTATGCAAGAGCAAGGGCAGGGACGTGCGAGACACAAATCATTTGGATTAATGCTTTTATTTCTCTAATTTTAAGTACTAAGCTCCTATTTGATTTTTTTTTTTTTAATATAATAAAAGAGCTCCTCTCTGACTGTGATCCGATTGTTGCAATTTTTTTACTGATTAGTTTGCATGAGATGTATCTATTGGTGTTTGAATGCTTGAAATATTTTTCTCTCCTATAACAATTCTTTTTCCCCTGATACTGATCGTGAAGCTGAATATCAGTAAAAGCAGACCATTCACTGAAGAGATTTGATCATTACTTTCTGATAGGAGGGTTATCTGTCAAGTAAAAGAGTTAACATGCATTTGGTACAGAAGTTTTTGATTGGGAGGTTTATTTTTTTTATCCTTTTTTGGCCATAAAATAGGATATAGATGATGGATTGCAAAAATGAAATGAAGAGAATGCCTCGGTGGACTACTCATGTAAGTACCTTTTCTAGTTGATTGCTATTATTTATGTTTTAGACACCTTTCTTTTTCAATTTCTATTATAATCGCTTTGAATATTTTATACTTATGACTTTCCCTTATCTCATTTTAATTTTTCAAGGAGTTGATTCTAAGTATAACATTGTTGTTGTTATTGATAAATTGTACTTACATGAGCCCAAGAATGCGGAAACCAATTAAACCTTGTGGCATTTGCATGCACTTTTGAGTTAGCCAGAGTTAATCCTTCTGTTTCTATCAAGCGTTTCTTTGTTTGAACAACTGCAAACATGGTTGTCTGCAAGACTTTTGGTGAAAGCTCGCTAGATTTCGTTGTGCACAATATATCATTAGAATGGAATTATGTATAATGAACAGTAGAATCATCAAAATCATGAGGCTCTTCAAAAGGTATAGTTCTCTATAAGTCATCATCAAAGAGGAATAGTTGTGTGGATATAAGATTATGTATGTGGTATATTTGCTTTAGGAGACTGAACTACGGGTGAGTTATTTTTTTTTTAATTAAAAAAGGATCTATTATTTTTTAAGTAATTGAAAAACCTTTGAATCTTGTTTTGGTTGGTTATCATAGGCTCTTGAATCCTTTATGCAGTTTGGGCACTACAGGGTATACAAACATATGTGGTTGCCACCGGAATGGCTATGTTTACTCATTGGTTGCCACCAGAATGGCTATGTTTACTCAGTATAGATGTGATGTATATTGAACAGTATGCTTTTCTGGAATTTAAACTGGATGCTCATATCAGTAGTAATGTTTGTGCAGATTGGCAATTGGGGCCTTCAAATGCTGTGGTATTTTTTACATTTTATTGTGAGCCTATGGTACTTTGCTTTATGTATAGCTAATATGCTTGAAAGTTATCTCATCTCAAGTTCATTACTCAAGAAATATAAATCTCTCGACATAGACAAGCTTCGCTACCTAGCAATTGTAATAGAAAGTGAAGAAGCCCACCAGACTTTAAATGTCATTAAACTTTTGCAATGGCTGGTAGCTATTGGCGCAAAAAGAGTGTGTCTCTATGATGCAGAAGGTAACGATATTTTGGTTCTGTAAATGTGGTTCTTCTTCCTAAGATCATATCATTATCTGAGGATGTTGTTGCAATTTGTGTAAGTATGCTAACCTGAACTTTTGTGTTTTAGGAGTATTGAAGAAATCAAAGGAATCCATCTTGGAAAAATTAAATGATGCAGTACTGTTTGAGGTACTATCATTTGTGCGTGCTCACTTGTAGAATAATATTTTTCTTTGATTCCTTTTGCAGTGTCTTATTTTCTATAAATGTGCCTTTGTGTCACAACTTTCATAGCAATATAACTCATTGAAAGCTATGTTTTCGTTATGAAAGCTTCATTGATTTTCCTTCCTGGGTTGTGATTTGTTTTTGGGTGTATTCAGCGAGAAGTTAAAACAGAATCTGTGTTTCGGTTGTTTAGAGTTGGCCTGGCTTAAAATCTGGAAGAAAAATTTGTATTTAGGCAGACTTTTTGATTATTTTATTCAATCTTTTTGTTCTTACTTCCTATTATGTATAATTTAACTTTATGCAGGGTTACTTATTTACTAATAATACTTTGGCTGTTCATATATTGTCTACCTGAGGTTTCTTGTTGGGTATATAATTTAGTTATTGTATCATTATTGGAACCATCCGTTGGTTACCTACATACTGCTGGAATGTAAGAAGTGATGCTAAGAGCGTTTAGTATTTGTTATTTGCAGGAAGCTGATGACAAGCATTCTGGAATTGGGAAAAAACTTATTACTTTAGAATTCACTTCACTCTCTGATGGGAAGGAAGCTGTGGTCAAGGCAGCTAATGTACTTTTTCAGAGTTATTTGAAATTGGGTGATTCGGGCAGAACTCAAGAAGAGCAAATTTTTACAGAAGCTCACATGTCTGAAGCACTAAGAGCAATTGGTCTGTGTTACTTTTCAGATCTCTTCAGTGGTTTATGAGTAATAATGTCCTTCCCAATATTTTATATATATTAACATTTTTAGTACTAACAGGTTGTGGAGGGCCCGATCCTGATCTTTTATTAGTTTATGGACCTGCAAGATGCCACCTAGGTTTCCCTCCATGGAGAATTCGATATACAGAGATTGTGTGAGTGTTCTCTCCTGATGGATTATCAGTTTATGAACCTGAACCCCTGTAGATTCTGTACTTCCTAGCTTATTTTTGTTTGTTTGCAACTGGTCTCAACATTTCTACGATGTGGGAATAACTAGTTTTAACTAGGAAAGTTACTGTTCTTAAAAGTAGCACTATGAAAAAGATATGCAGGAAAATTTGTTAAAGAAGTTTGTTGAGTACTTTAAACTATATGAGATCGGTGGTTTCTCTTTTAACGAGCCCATACTATTAGTAAAATCCCATAACGAAATTGAATGTAAAAACTATAGTAATGGCATTCTTTTTTAAGTGCTTGTTTATATTATATGCCTATATATGCTTTCATGAAAGTAGGACTAAGCACTTGTGAAGTATGTATTAATAAGTTACCAATGGGGCACCACCCATATACAAAAAATTTACCAGTTTGGTAGAATATCAATGACATTCTCAAAATTCTCAACCCTAGTAATGTCATACCCTGATAAAATAAACTCAAAATAGTGAAACCATTTATCTCTCAATTTATGATTCTCAACTTTTTTACTCTCCAAAGTTTTATAATTCATTTCCTTCCAATGAACCTAAAAAATGGTCAATAGAATCAGTTTTACAAACTCTCTTTTTACATAACTCATCCCAAGCCTAAATTTCTACTTTGACCGAACCCGCCATGAACCAATTAATTCCTAAAAGACGATATATCATGTACCACAACTCATAAGATATAGGACACCATAAAAGGATATGATTGCATGATTCTGCTACGTTCATCCATAAGTAGCACCTGTTAACCATAATCTACCTTCTGGACATCAGTTTATCAATTATCAAAATGCATTCTTGACTGACCTCACCAGCCAAAAAAAGATTTTAAGAGGTGCCTTTGATTTCCAAATCTGCTGAGCCGGATAATTATGACCCCTGCTCTGCCCAATTTGCATAATATGCTTACAGTAAGATTTAACTGAGAAGTCTTCATTCTGATTCATTTTCCAGATCACCTTATCCAAATGAGAGTTAACCCACTCTGAGGCGAGTAAATGTAATAAAGCTTCGTACTCACTAACTTCCCAATTGTTCAGTTTCTAGTTTCATTCACCAACATTCAGTGCTTCCGTTGCTATCCCTGTACTCCTCAATCACCATATCTCTTGATTGAGCAATAGCAAAGATCCTTGGAAACCGCCTCATAAGACACTCTCCTTCTAAACAATCATCCAACCAGAACCTTATTCTGTACGCCTCAATCACCTTATCTCTAGATTGAGCAATAGCAAAGATCCTTGGAAACCGCCTCATAAGACACTCTCCTTCTAAACAATCATCCAACCAGAACCTTATTCTGTTACCTCCACCAAGTTTCCAGCAGATGCACTCCTCGAATCTAGGCCACTCCATCAGGATCTTCCTCCATAAGCCCAACCCATGTGGTCTTTGAACCCTTCCCCCATGCCCCCGCTCCTCCAGGCCACCCCACCTTTCTTCAATAATCCTCCTCTACATCCTATCCTCCTCCTTCGAAAACTTCACAACTATATCCCTTGAAGAGCAGCATTCATCTCAACAAGAGATCTAACACCCAAACCACCTTGGTTAAAACTAGTTTCTTGTCTCCATTTCATTTGATAAATGATTTTTATAAAAATTATGGACTCACCTAGATCAATACCCGCACCCTCACACACCCGCAACCGCACCCACAAACTTGTGTGGAAGTGCTAACTCATCTACATGCACCTGCATACATGTTAACACAGAGTACAAATGTATATCTGCTTATGTTGTTATGAATATTAGACCAGAAACTTGCATCGGTATATTTTGAAGCTTTTTTCTTCAGCTTAAGTACTTCGAAGATTATTTAGAACTCAGGCAATCCGCCTCCACAACTTCCTCTCATCATTTTTCAAGCAGGGAGTCTTCCTCTCTATTGCCCTTTCTTCACTTCAAAGCTGTGGTTGCGAGCTTTGCTTCTTTATCTTGAACAAGTTAAGCGTCATTGATTTGAATTATGGCATATTTGTGTTACAGACATATGGGATCTTTGCAGTCTGTGAGATATGGTTCCCTTTTAAAGGCCATTTACAAGTTCACTATGGTGCGTCAAAACTATGGTAGGTGGTTTTACTTCTCAATCATTTTGTTCATTCTTAATTGATGGCAATTTACATTACTTTTGTGTAGTAAAACTGAAAGGATAGTATTTTTGAGTGTGGAGTTCCAACTTGATTAGCAAAATGCATGCATCTTTAGTCCCTTTGACGTTTACTCTCTTAAAGTTATCATCAAAAGATTTAACTCAGGGATCAATTCTGTCACATGATTTGGTTGGGAACTAGCCTGTTCATTTTCTATTTGAGACACTAATTTGTCTCCATAACTGGGAGCCTGTGTTATTGTTCTCATTTTTATTGCATTATGCTTGATTTAAATCTAGATATTTTCATTCTAATATTAATCATTTTGGTATGTAAAATTTATTCCTAATTTACACATTTGCTATATAACTAAATTAATTTTACTTATATTTTTAGTTTTCTATCGATGAATTTATATTTTTATTTGTCAAGAAAGAAACTGCAGAATCACCCAAGTTAAATTAATCATGAAATTGACTTGGACTTATGACATTACTCTCATTCAAGTACTTACTAGCGTGTTATCATTCTTAATCCATATAACAAAAATTTGAACCCAAGTAAACCTTAATATTTTTATTTGAACTTAGAAGGGTAAATTACAAGTTACTTTTTGGTTTGAGAGTGTCTATAATTTTATTCATGTTCCAACAGGTAAATGAGATGATACAATGCATTGAAGGAATCCCGGATAAACCGGTGAAAGGACGTAACTTGTACTCGGCTGATTGTAATCTATCATGTAGATGCTAATCATCTAAATCTAAAATTCCTTGTCTATGTAAACATTCTGGTTTCTTAGGACAAAATTTCCTTGTGTTCCATATTCTTAGTTATTAAGCCGTAGGGATCATGATTGAAAATTTCCCTTAATGTTCCATATTCTTAATTATTAAGCCTTAGGGATTATGATTGAAATTCTTTATTGTTCTCTTTATCGGCGTTTCCAATATTTATATGTTCTAAGGATGGATCTATAAATAAATTTTCTTCCATGTGGCAAATACTTTTGAGAATTATTAATAAGGTAATACAATTAGTATTATTGGTCTCTGAGTGTTTAAAGTTAGAAATTTGTGTCTATTTTTCATAGTTTTAGCTGTGCTTTAATTGTCTTACCAACTAGCTTTCCAAGAGAATAAATTGAAATGAAGAATTCTTTTTTCTTAGAAAAAAGACATTTTCAATCCTAGCTTCCATCTCAAGTGGTCAAGGAGTCATCTTTTATCCCTTGTGAACCTGCCTCAATCTCTGTAAATGAATGAATAAATTGCTTTCAATCTTTGAAAACTTTAAATAGAAAGATCTCTAATAATGCTCGAATTAAAAATCCCCCTACACTGATTTTTTTTTGTTTGTTTTGAGATAAAAGTACCTACACTATGATTAACAGTACAATTTTGATGCTCTGTTGTGTCATTGAAGTCAAAACTGGGAAAAAGTAGTGACGAGTTCTATAGACATTGCCTTTGAACACTGATAAGAATTTCCATTAATTTGGGGAATTAAGAACTCAGAAATGATGGTTGAAACTAAGAAGAAACCATTGTGGTATGATCAAGTTCCAAAAAATCATTCAAAGGTCTTTACAGAGATGATCGTTTATGTCAATATTTCGTGTCTAGAATACCATCAATGAGACCAAACTCCATTGCCTGCAATATAGAATAGATTACATAAATCAGTACTTGTATGATATTAGATACAATTTGGTTGTAAAGTAGCTATAAGTCAAGCCAGGACCAAGGAGACCCGGCGGTAAGGGAAAAATCTTTCACGGCAAGCAATAGATAGGAATTCAAACCTCTCGTGAACTGCGTACATAGTATGAACTTTTGCAAAGCAATCTAATTCTCATTTTCAATTATTATTTTTTAAATAAAAAGAATTCTCATTTTCAATTATAATAAAAGAAATTATCCTGCAAAGCAGATTTCTGATCAGAAGGTTAGCCGAAAATGAATGAAATAACATTCTTCCTTCATCGTGTGGTGAAGGAAAAAGGGAGCTAAGGCATTCCCCGGGTGCTTTTTCTTTTTTCATAGCCATTGGTGTCAAGTACCTTCATAACAGAATAGAAAGATTACCTCCGTAACAGATAAGAAGCGATCCCTCTCAGTATATTGTTGCACTTTTTCTAAAGGCTGGCCAGTAAAAGCTGCGTACATTTTGTCAATTTTCTGCACCAAATTACCAAGACAAGGAGATCACATTACTATCGTTATTGTTACTATCATTATTTTCATTGGAAGAATGATCACATGAGTTAACAAATTGGAATGCTCACTTGAGGATTTTGAAAAAGCACAAAGTAGAGAGTAAAGAATGGCCACGAGAAAAGAATCACATGCAGAATAGAAAAGACAGTGACGGTAAGCTAATAACAACTAGAAATCAATCTGAACGATGAACCAAGTTTCAAGATTTCAGTTATTAGGCAGACAAGCCAACCAAAACAACCTTCACTCGAGTTGAAATAAAAGTCAATGGAGCAAGGAAGAAAAAACATATTCAAATATAAACCACAAATGTTAAGCGATCATGCAAGACATGCAAGAGAAAAAAAGACTAACATGGCGAGATTGGACTGCTTCATTCACTTGGCGCCTTACATCTTCCACATGACCCTACAACAGAAGATACAGGGTTATGATTAGTGGCATGGAAACTAGATATTTGAATTCTGGAGTCAGGAAGGAAGGAATGCTAATAATGTAGTGATCAAATAACATAAAAGAAGGCAGGTATAAACATGGGCGAATTCTTGACAGGAACAGAGTAATTAGCATAATAAGAAAAAGAAAAGAGTGATTGTAGAAACAAACTTGAGTCCAGCCAACATGAAAGTACTCAAGAATGGATGTCTGTTTTCACACTTATATTGCTTAAACATACAGTTCTTGTATGTCTACGTAAGACTATGCACATAGAGATCTTTCAAAAAGCTGTTCATTACAAACATCAAAAGTAACTAGTTGAGAAAACAACCAAATGCTGATCAAGAATAAGGAAGAGAAGGAAAAACATCAATGAAGGTCACGATAAACTTATCATGTAATACATGATTCATTGTACCATATGCTCCTAAAACTAAAAATTGGAGCAGTATTTATTCATGCTAGTCCAACTAAACCACGTAAAAGTAGTCAATCCTGTTAGTTTACAATAAATCTTAAGGAAGACTGAAAAGGGAGCAAGGATGGATGAAGAAAATAATTTAAAATTTTAAAGAAGCATCACAAATTAACTTGTTCAGGTTTTGTTACCAGGTTTCCACTTTTCTCTTGCAAGTATATCAAAAGATAAAAAAGTCAGGCTCATAGTTTCCACCCTCATGTAAACATTATTATTCTACAAAATACACTGAACTTATCAAGAGGACAACTCATACCCCACATCCACTTTGAGGTTGATGAATCATAATACGTGCATTTGGCATTGCATATCGCATTCCCTTCTCTCCACCAGCAAGAAGAAGTGCCCCTTGGCTTGCAGCTACCCCGAAGCAAACTGTGCCAACCTTAGGCTTTATCTGAGATTATTGCAAATAACAGACAGCCGATCATAAAATAGACAGAAATGAAATAAACAAAAAATGTATGTATATGAAAGGAATTGGGAAGCAATTCAAACAGCAAAAACATGCACACTTCCAAAAATTAATTTTAGGTTACTTTAGAGCTAACCCTTTACCCTTTATTTCCTTCAAAAAAAGAGCTAATCCTTTATCCAAGCCCATGTTATGAAAGGAGATCCGTATTTAAGAAGACTAACTACTGGTACGCCCATGGGATACACTGAGTCTAGTATAGCTGTGTGAAATTCTACAATAATTATCTGAACATAATGTCTCACAGAAAGGATCACCTCAAGGTCACAATAAATGATCTCCTCTTTAGAATAACTTGTCCAATACTTTTTTTTTTTTTGAAAGAATATAACTTGTCCAATACTTGTTCTTTGGATTTTCTCTCTCTCCAATTTATCTATTTTGTACTCTATCATCTCTTTGAAATAAACAGGTAAATGTTTTATCTCATTGACATCTTAGTTATTCTGTCTCACCATGATGTTTCTCATAAAATACTCACATAGTTCATTCTACCTATGGTATTTACTTAAAGCTTCCTAGAAAAGGAATGGCATCATACCTACACAATGAATGAGATTCAGCCAGCGGCATTTGACTAGAAACATCACTGAAATATTTATCACGTGTCCAATAAAAAAACAGGAATTCTTACAATTAGGTGATTCTGATAATCTGATTGTGCATAACAGTTAGGCTCCTGCTTAAGTGAAATTTCACCTTAAGAAAGTACACAAATAAAAACATCCGATCGCATCATTTCTCATTTCTTTTAGATTTCGTTGGGTGATGAAAATCAAATTCAAGTGCAAGGAAGGTAATGGATTATCAACCAAAAAGTTGTTCAAGATATATTGGAAGGTCACAATAAAAATAGAGTATCAAGAAGCAAAAATAAAATGACAAGGTGGGAAAAGATGCATGAGCACTAATTACTTTAACTTCTTACCCATGACATACAATCATAAATTGCCAATACAGAGTAGGTGCTTCCACCAGGGCAGTTCAAATACACCTGAAAGCGTCCAGGACATACTTATAATTCTGAATAAGCATATGTTTAATCTTTTATATTCACAGCCATCGTATACTGGGGAATTTTAAAAATGATTGTGCAGAGTTACAGCCACACCAGAATATCTGCATCCTCATCAATAGCTGCTAGAGTTACAAGTTGTGATATTACTTGCTGTGCAACCTGCGAGTTGACTGGCTGCCCAATGAAGATTATGCGATTCCTAAACAACACAGATGAAAGGTCCAAAGGTCCTCCTGGAGTCATTACAGCAGGCATTAGGGGTGGATTCCCCTTTTTGGCTTCCACCACTCCATGACTGTGTATAGGTGGAATCTAGTTAAGTTATAGGCAACAAATATAACTGCAGATGTAGTTGCAAAAATGGTTTAGGAAAATCCATTGCGTACAGACCACTGAAAAGTCGACAGGATCAAGAGAAGATTCATGTATGCAATCTGTTTGAAGTTTGATGAGACAATATACAAACAGAAAATAAGTGATGAAAATATGAAAGCAGTTGCAATATATGCTTGGCTTGCGTTGGGCTTGCGTTTAAGGCGAACAATTGCCAAAACAAAATGATGGTTTTTATCACTTACAGAAGATATCTTTGAAATAACATTAAAAAAAAAAAAAATCATGAAAGCATCATAGATAACTGCAAAGATACATCAGAAATCCCATCCCTACCCTAATGAATCAAGTTAAGAAAACACATCAGAAAAAGAGATGATATCCACAAACCTTTGATCAATACCAAGAAGGTCCTTCTCTTTAGTCCTCAGAGGTAACCCAGAAAATTTACTAGATAATCCTGGAAAAGGCAAAACATTTACATATTCGCTTTATACAGAAGTTTAGAGTGCAGTGAAGAGCAAAGAAGTCATCCTTCCGTTCACGAAAGCATCAAAAAGCTTTCAGAAGCCAGTGAAAAACAGTCAACTCGAGCTAAGAGAAGCCCAAACTCAAATAACAAGAGCTGAATCATATGAACTAAACTCAAACAAATTGAGCTTAATCAAGACCCGGGTCAACCCACAGAAATGCAAAATGGGTCCAGAAAGATTTTCACTTTAATGCACATACTAACAAGATTCGTAAGCTTCAAACAATGGAGCGACTCACCAGTTGTAGAAGAATCATAACCGCAGGGAGTTGGCAGTGCGCACAACACCGACGTCGTTGAGTTTCTGCGCGAAAGAAAAAAATTAATTCGAGAGGTTAACAGTATTTCAAGCTATCCAGATAAGCTTATCATAAAACAACACAAAATGTCAGGTGGCATTACCTGAGAGGGAATGATGAAATAGAAAGATTTTTGTTGCGAGAAGAAACAGAAGAGAAGGCAAAGGGAGGTGAAATTGCCGATGCAACCATTTCTTTCTCTGAAACCGCTTAGAGAAGAGAAAGACGGGAGGGTTTTCAGGGCAGCGATTGGCAAATCCGCAAAAGCTTAAACCCAGATATTATTAGGAGGTTGAAAACCAGAGGGGTCGCCGTGAAGGAGAAAGAGTTTTGGAGCTGCTGGGTCAAGAACGAAAATTACATGGGCCCATTTTCTTATGAATTGGGCCTTAACCGGCCCATGATTTTCACTAAATTTCTGAAGAGTGAGAAAATATGATTTTGTGGTAAAAATTTAAAATACTTATATATATATATATATATATATTTAACTCATTCAAAACTAATTACAATTTTTATATACAATAAATATTGATATGTCAAACTGTGCATTTTGTATATTTTTCGACATAAAATTTTATTTTTGTAAATATATAACCACGTTTAAATAGTAAAAATTAAACAATTAAATTATAGAAATTGTGAAAGCTACAATTTATTGATAATCAACCACAGATACATGCATACAACTACTCTTCATTACCATACATACATATATATATATATATGTATGTATATGGTAATTAGTTGGAAGAAGTGGAGGATGGAACCCAAAGAAGGGCGTTAGAAGACAAAAAATGACAAACGGGCGAACCAGGGCTCGAACCAAGAAGCTGAAACACAATATGATTTGGATCCCAATCAGACGTGTCCACGTGGCAAACCCCGAGAGCTTCCACTCTATCTCCGTTCTCACCCCTCAGCCAAACTCTGAACGCCCTATTCCCTCCTCTTCTCCCGTGACAATAGAACACTGCGTACGGGTAACCAACACTGGCATGGCAGCCCACCATTTTCGCATCGCTACCACCCGCCGTCACCACCTCTCTCGGCGACTCCGTGATGGTGTACCTCTGTTTCGGATTGTCGCTCGATTTCGTCAAGTAATATTTGGTGGTGAGAGGTCTGAAGGGAGTGTCTGGGCCGAAGACGGCGCGGACGTAATCGAGCATGGATTCCAACGAAGTGGCGCAGAACCTGGTTTCGGATTGGCTCATGGGTTTGGACTCGCAGTGGGTGAGCGTGTGCTGGATTCGTCTTGCTTGGTGGGAGTCTGGGGAGATGGAGAAGAGACCAAGGATGGTTGAGAGGTTTTTTGAGGAGAAAGGTATTTTGTCTGCTTCTGATCTGGGCAGGAAACGGGGTAGAGAAGAAGGGTCTGGGTTAGGGAAGTCTATGGTGATTGTTTTTCCGATGTGTAGGTCGCTGATGGTGAAGAGACCCAGACTTGAAGCTTCCGTGTGATCGACTTCTACCAGGTCGGGTGATGCATGTGAGTGATCGCTTCTCATCATCTTCTTCGTGGGCTGCACAACTCCGTTGCCGTGCACACAGTGCAGCTGCAATATTCAGGAATAAGTAAACAGATCCACACATGGACTGCACATACACAAATTCTGGAAATCACGCTGAACAATCACACATTTTATATGTAAATACTTCAATATAGTTCATAAATCATATACATGAACTTGAGAATATTATTTATACGTATATTGTTATATACCATCAATAACAGAAGATATCCAAAGAGGAGCTTCTTGGAGAATTTAAGAGCCATGTTTCTCTCTTAAATTTACTCTGCAAGCGACCAAGCCTTAGAAGGGCTTCTGGGTGTGGGTGATGGTGTTTATATTTGAGGCAATAACCAAGCTGCCAAAATAATGATTTGTTAATTATATTATTTATTTTTTGGTTAAGTTAATTTTTAATTTAATTCTTTTTTTTTAAGAGAAATTAACAAAATATCATAAAATTATATTTATTAATTAAATATTACGTCTCTATATCCCTCGGGACACCTTCTTCTTCTTCTTCTTCTTCTTCTTCTTCTTCTTCCTCCTTCCGTGCTTCCATAGAATCACCCTTCGGCTGATCCAACACCAAACCAGGATGCTCATCCCGCAGTCACCCTTATTCTTTTTCCTCCTCCCCCCCCTCCATAAAATCCAACACGAAATTATGAGACCAAGAAACATATTTGAATTAATTTCGAAATTAAACATTCAATTATATCTAACAAATATGAATTAATAGCTTATTAAGTATTGATTAACAACCAAATATGGTCATCAAATCCCATAAAATGTCTTCCTCGGTATTCTCAGACACTTAGAAATTTCTTTTGTGGGATCCCAATAATTTCCTGGTTAGGGACCAATATCAAGTTAAAGCACAGTAAATAACAAAAATTATTGAACGCAGCATTATTTTAATTATAATATATTTTTAATAATTCAACTTTATGAAATAAAATATTAATATTGGGGAGTAGGTGGGTGATTGGGCCGCCGCCCACCAGGAAAGAAATCGATTGGGGCATGAACAGTAATAACGATGTCGTTTTTGGAGTATCGGGCTCCGGCCTAAAGTTATTTGGAGTTTAGTTGATCTCCAGAAATAATTGGTCCAATACGACGCCGCCTTGAGATTAGAACCAGCCCGGTCAATTATGGTTTACTAACCACTACAGACCTGAGCGGATAAGAGTGGTTGCCCAATTTGGGAATAATAAAATATTTTAAAGATATTGATATAATTATTTATATATAAAAATAATTTAATTTATAATTATATATGTCAGTGTAAATTAGAAAGTGTATACTGGAAGGGCCGGTACAAAATTATATATGTCAACTATAAATAGCAAGTGATGAATCAGAAACTATAGACGAGAGATTAAAGAGTTGCAGAAACAGCTTGGTGTAGTAATTGACATGAATATGAGACTTTTCTTTAAGTTCATGACCCTCTCCTTCTTCCTCCTCCTCCTCCTCCTCCTCCTCCTGGTACGCATGTCTTAATTAACAACTGAAATCTGGGTTTATCATTCTTATAGATCGTTTTGTTCTATATCATATACGTATATATAAACACAAACACACACACATACAAATGTTTGTCTTTCAGTGTGAATTTCATGGTTAATTTAATTGGAGTAGTGATAATTCCCCAGATTCATATATAGGTGTAGATATATATATATATATATATATATATATATATATTATAAAACTGACTGCAGAAGTAATTAACTGAAGTTGGGGGTTTTTTTGGTTTTGGATATTAAGATCGGAAGCAGCAGTGTTGATGGAAGAAAAGAAGCTGGAGGAGAGTACTGGGGAAGTGTAATGAAAGGGCAGGCAATGCCAGAAGTAGTTGAAGCCCTTACTTATCCAAACTCTCCTACTACTACTCAACCTCAGCAAACACAACCCAAAAGAGAGTCAAGAAACTTCGAGGATGCTTGGCGTTAATACATCTATATATATATATATATATAATATCTTATCATGCCATGGCAACTCCAGGCCAAACCACTGTACCCACTTTAATTACTTTCATCTTGTTCAACCAGGTAATAATATATATTAAGCAGTGCCAATAAATGGACTTACGTTGAAGTGTTGCTACATCTTCATTGTTCAAAATATAAGAGAAACTTCATACATTCATTAGTTACATAATACATCTACATGAATCATAGTAATACAATAAAAACATGGTTCGATTCGAATCACAATTTTTTATAGAGAAAATGACATACCAAAGATAGAGTGATGGGTGAAAAGAACATTTAATTCAAGCACTTAATTACACATTCGTTCTGGTAAACATACATTAACATGAACATGACTGTCCATTTTTTCTTTACAGCAATAATATTCAAGCTTCTATTACTAAAAATTAAAAGTTGGATATATAAGAAGTCATTTAATTTGGTAAGCACATGATTAGCCCGGTTAAGATGGCAATACAAGAGATAAAAATGGAAATGTAAGATATACAGACGGGGATTCACCTCAAAACAGATTCATATATACATATATATAGCTTTCTGTACACTAGATGAATCATACATGAGCCTATACATACGCCCACCAAACCTCCTGCGAACTTAATCTTTAATAGATAATTGGCTGAACCCAGACAAGATCATCCAGGGGAAGAACATGGCAGACGGGGCAAGTTCTTGGCTGTACATTGAGAAGGCGAAACGACGCATGATCAGGATCCCATTCAGATGTATTCATGTGGCAAACAACAACAGCTTCCACCGACTCCCCATTATCTCCGCCCAGTGAAACCTCAAACACCCTGTTCCAACCACTCTCTCCGCCGCCATGGCAGAAGAACACTGCATAAGGATAAGGCATTGTGTGGCATGCCACCATTTTTGCACCAAATATTTCTTTAGGCGCTTCCAAAATCGTATAATTTTGCAAAAGTGTAGCTGGTAATTTTGTTTTGAATCTTGTTGTTAAGACCTTGAGATGGGGATTTGACCCAAATATGGTTTGTAGAGAATCAAGCATTGATTCTAATGATGTAGCACAGAATTTGACTTCTTCCTTGACTGCATCCGCATCTTCGCATTCTTTAAGTGTATACGCCATGGATTTTGCCTGTGGAGACGTTGCAGACAAGGAGAAGAATTCAAGAAGGTAAGGGAGTTTACTTGAACTGAAAGGAATTGAATCTGTTTCTTCCCTCGGAAGAAGATGGGGAGAGATAGAAGGGTCCTTGCTGTTGAAGTAGAGACGCATTCTTTTACCAATCTCAAGGGTGTTTATGGTGACGAAAATGTTCACTGAAGGATCCATCTGAGATGAGGGGCGATCATGGCCGTTTATTTCAATTGCTTTCTTCTGATCATGATCACCAACATCACCATCATGCTTTACGTAGTCTCTGTCTTCTTCTTTCCATTCTGATTCATAGATCATCCTTCCGGAACCACTACAGGGTTGAGCAATCTGCATCAAGCAAGGATGTTAAAATAGAGAATTCGGTTCCTTAATATTTATAAATTTGCAGCAAAATATGCACGACGTTCCGTGTGGAACTATCTAATTCAATCAAAGACGAGAAAGATTACCGTCAGAACAAGCAGAATAAAAAAGATGATAATGATGCTCCAACAAGGAAAACCAGAAGCCATCGTTCAAAATTCTAATGCTTTTTCTGCTTTGCGAAGAAAGAAACAAGTTCAAAAAGTGATTGAATTAAGAAGCTCAGTAAAGGGTTTATTTTATTTGCTAATTAGGATGTTGAGTTTTGAAATCAATTTATCTATATTTTGCCATAAAATATGATCACGACATGAGAAAAAAAAAAAATCATATACTGTGTGCAAGTCAACTGCTCTGGTAGATAACATTGAACCCACTTTCAATGGATCGAACGAGGCAAAGAAAGTAGCTTCTTTCTTGGTATCATTCGGGCATTTTACCTATCTAGTTGTTCATTGAAACACCTTTTTCTAATTATATATTATTTGGAGAGTACTGCCCGCAAGCTAAGACTATATAAATATCTACTTGTTTATCTACACACGCAGCTTGCCACATGCCTAATAAAATATGTATGGATTTATCCAGTTAATCATATAATCATATACATACAAATAATAATATAACAAAAATAAGTTTCTTTATAATGTCTTGTAAAGAAATGAATCAATAGATCATCAGACTAAATAAATGCTTAGCAAGATACAGTAGTTACTTCCTAGTGAATAAAGTTTACAAAAAGATTCTTGCTCACCCTTGCATATTAGTTACTCTCATTTTTATGAAGCTAAAATTTTATATTTTGGCCAGGTGATATGAGTTTTCAGAGGTGAGTTGGTAGGCATAACCAGCAAAGAAGGAAGACAATTACATATATACAATATTATATTGATAAAAGGTGCAGTAGATTAGATTTTTAGAGGTAGGAGGCAGCCCCCACCAGAAAGCTCAGTTGGCTCTTCATGAGGAAAGTCAACTTTGGTCGTCCAATATATTTTTATCATGTATATATATATACACTCTTAATTAATCTGCTTACAAGAATATGAACTGGTTTCCAACTCACAAAAACAATCATTAATTCATCGATTAAAATCTTTATTTTGATGTTTAAAATTAATCCCATCAAAAACAAATATTTTTAGTTCTGAGAAACGAAAGAGGAAAAGTTTTTTTCATTACAGAAAAATGAGTTTCGTCAAGGTTTTATCATTAAAAAGAACAGAAAATAATTGTGAATGATAGCTCTTGCGCACTAACTCTACGTATAGGTTGTCTTTATCTCTCAAAGTCAACTTCATCTCCGCGTTATAGCCTGCATGCAAAACTCCAACCACAGATTTTCAAATCTATTTGCTCTCTATACTACGTGCAGAGTACATATATATATATATAAATATTTGTGTGTGCGTGTGCGTCTGTGTGTATATACATGACAAAGTTACATATATATATATATATATCATGTCTTGTATAGTTGTTAATTAAGAAACTATATTTATGTAACATGAAACAGTCGGCAAATGTGAGTGTGTGTATATAAATATATCTACATATCCTAATAAGCTCTTGGTGACAGCCATTAGTCAACGAAAGCCAAAGGATGGTGTTATGAGTTAGCAAAATGGAAAGCACAGTAATTGGCAACTTTCAATGGCGTTCCTGTTTGTTGTGATGGAGAACCAAAAGATCCATCATTTCATATACATATATATTTTTTCAACCAAAAAAAACGTTGGTTCACACCCACTTCGTAAGGATGAGTTAGATTGATAATGATCATACCTCTACTATATATATATATATAAATACATACATTCATACACACACACGGAGCCATGAAAACAATGACATCGACCATTTCCATTTAGTTGTACTGAGGAAGACTTTTACAATATTTTCCATGAACGGGCAAGATGCAATCTATCTAAATTCATTTTCAGTCAAATGGAAAGTAATGGTACCAGCTGTTTTAATTGTCTCTTTCTCTGTTTAATTATTTTTGTAAGTAGTATATATAATTTTTCGTGCCAGACATATTCTCTTGATCACAGTCAAGTCATGGCTGAAATCATCATTATTGTTTCTTTATGGAACCTTTGTTGACCTTGGAATCATAAAAGTGAACACGAACAGCTTACACCATATATATAAGATTATATCATATATATGTATATGCAATATAATGTTTACTCCTGATATATATCTAATCCCTACCAATCAGCCCATATATATATATATATGATATTAATATATAAAAACTTCAGACCAGTATTTTGTGATAGTATATTTTGCATAAGTCAAAGCTTCTTTGATGGAGGGATCACATTATTATAAAGTAACATTGATAATTAGGAATCAAAAACCTCTAAACCATTTTTTCAATTAAAAAAAAAAACCCTTAAAACCATTTGACATTTTAATTATATTTTTAATCACACCAATGATTCTTTTTAACAAACCCATGTAAATAGTCTTTGAGGGGTATATATAGGATCCTCATCATGGACCAAGAAGTATGAGAAAGTTGGAATCTTGGAAGCTGAGGAGTTTACCAATTTAAGATACCAAAAGTATGAAACCTGAAATCTTGCATCTTTTCATTTTCTTCAGTACCCTTCTCTTGGTAAGCACTACATATGCAGATAGAGATCTTGATATTCAAGTTTTCTATGTTTATGTTGATGTATCTCTATACCTACACACACCCACAACACAAATATATATCTGAGTATCTATCAATTATACATGTTGGTTATTAAATTCTTGATGTACAGTTTGCCAAAGTGAATTATGCAAGACAAGAACCAGGGGTGTATTGGAAGAGCATAATGAAGGAAGAACCAATACCAGAAGCAATCAGCAAACTTTTTCTTTCTGATGATTCGATTTCTGGAAGGAGCAAATCGGATCGATTTGTGACGGATTTCGACATTAGACATAGCGTGATTATATATCACAATCACTTGGACCATAAAGATCAGCAGAAGAAGGATTTTGTAGAAGACATGATGAAGCCAAGATATGATGAACAATATGAACAAAAAGTTAAAGAACACTGTACAACTAGACAAAGCAAGAAGTATCATGTAGGAGTTAGGACTCATGTTTAATATATAATATCAGACTGTGATACTTTTGCTAATTACTTCTAATTTCTTGTTCTGGAAATTTTTTTTAGAAAAAAATTTTGTGATTGCATCTTTGTTATTTATCCCGGTTAACCTATATGATAGATGTTAATATCAGATCTTGTAAGTGGGAGAATCTATAATAACTTGTATGCATCTGATATAAATCTACCTATAACTATATATCTAATTTTAGGATAGACTGCTTAATGAGCTTGGAAATAGGATTAGTTGCTCAAGTGCATGTGTTGGAAACATTGTTCAAAATCTATTCATGGCCAGAAACTTAGTCTTATAATCTTAGTGCAAACCTTTAGAAATTAAAATTAAACAACAGAAGTGGACGATTGATGTAAGAAGAAAATAGATACACACACACACACACACACATATATGTACATGGTTTATGCATAGAAAGTGAAAAACAGAGAAAGGAAGGTCAATTGATCTACCAATTAAAAGATCTTGCAAGACGGTGAAAGTTTCAGAAATTGTAGGGTCTTAAACAGGAACCAAATGGCATCAGCCTAAACGACCTTATACCCCCTGGATCCAATTATATTCATATATACTCCCTCGATCCTCCAGTGGACTACAAACAATGCCCAATATCTATATACATATACATATACAAATACAAACACAACAGCGTTCTCATTCACATCAAATGACACTGGAATAACATTGCTTTATTTTCGAGAACCCAATACATAGATATTAAAATGGTGGCCACACGATTAACAAACTGAATTAAAGAGGCTCATCACATAACATGCCTAAATATTATTTATAATTGGGTTTGTGGCAAAAGCTAGCTAGGCAGGAACGATGACTAGATTATAAGATGGGAAGAAATGGCAGACGGGGGATTTGCCTGGTTCCGCTCCCAGCACACGAAATGAAGCATGTGTAGGACTCCAATGAGACGTGTCGATATGGCAAACCCCAACAGCATCCACCAAATCTCCATTTTCACCACCCAACAACACCTTCAACACCTTACTTCCTCCTTCCAATCCATGGCAATATAACACTGGATAAGCGTATGGCATCTTGTGGCAAGCTATCATTTTGCTGGGCCACATCTCTTCTATAATCGCCACCACTGTGTGGTTCTGTACAAGTATATTGTTAATGCTTGACCTTTTCAGGTACCTCGTGCTTAAAACGTTGAAATCTGATTGAGGGCCAAACAGGGCATGTACGAAATCAAGCAGGGATTCTAATGAGGTGGCGCATGTCTTGGTCTCTCCTTGGATGGGTTGAGCCTCACAGTGAGCTAGTGTGTTTCTCATGGCTCGGGCTTGCGGAGACCCTGGATTGATTGACAACATTTGGAGAACGTATGAGAGTTTACCTGAAGAGAAAGGAATTGAATCAGCTTGCTCTTTTGACAGAAAGTGTTTATGAAAAGAAGACATTGGTTCTTTGCGAGGGAAGTAGATGGGGATCTTTTCCCCTACTTTCACATCAGTTATGTGGAAGAACACCATTTCTTCTATTCGCTTCGTCATGCGGGATGCTGCATCAGCATCAGCAGTGTCATGCATTTTGTGCTCATGATCATTACTATTATCTTCATCTTGCTTTCTGTAAATCCATAGATGATCATCCCCGCCGACATCTTTCTGCACTAGTACTTCACCATCTTCATCATGGATGTGATGGTTTCGCTTCCCATAAATCCAAAAATGATCATCATCACCATCCATTGCGTTTTCGCTTCTTCTGACATCAGCATCATCTTGCCTCTCATGAATATCCCAGCTAGATAGCCGCAAAACCTTATTCATGCTCCCATCATGCTGCATCTCCCTGGCTAATCCACTACACTGCACAATTTTCTGTACCATAAACTTCCAATATTAGAAGGCAATATGCTATATATTTACAAGTAACAAATAATTTATTAAAAGCAAATAGTTAGCTTTTCACTCTACGTATATTTCAGTAATGTTTGATGAACAGGTTAGAGACGAAACGTGTGAAAGGATTAAAATTAAGCTACAGCTGGGTTTTGGTTAAAGCAAAACTCATTCCTAGCTAGGTAACTCTATATATTTGTACACACACAGAAACACATAGTTTTAGATCATTACCATAAGCAGTAGAAGATGAAGAAAAATGGTAGAGGAAGCAAATTCCATTTGGATATTTCTTCGCGGAAGCAGGTTTTTATACTAGAAAGATGTTTGAGTGGAGTCAATTATATCCAATTGTCAGCAGGTAGATGATGTCCGATTGCAGTAGGAATGGATGGCATGCTTTAGATATTACTCGGTTAAATTTTTAATGTTATAATTCTAAACTAAATAATCTCAAAGATTCAAACATCACATTGCATGTAATAAGCAATTTATTACAGTTTTTACTGCCTGTACGAATGATTGGAAAGTGGATGAGTAGAAATTTAAAGTGAGAGACAAAAAGGCAACAGTTCTGGTAAGGATTTTTTCAATTCCAACGAAACATTTAAATTAAATAAATAAAATGCAGCAGGGATGAACATTTCCATGTGGTATGTTTCCGATGGGGGCAGGATGATTAGTCTAGCAAATGGCTTTTAGCTTTCTGAATTATTGGACCTTCTTAAAATGGCAGCTTTCTGAATTATTGGACCTTCTTAAAATGGCAGTTCTCTCAATTATTGGACCTTTTTTGCTCGATTCATCATCATGTCTTCCACTCTGATTTTTTTTTTTTTTTTTTTTGTATAAAAAAACAAAACACTGGCTCTATGAACAATTAGGAAAAAGAAAATTTAATTAATACTTTATTTAATAAATAAAAATATCATATGCGGAGAATTTTCTGAAACTTATGTTATTATTTTCTGTAACAGTCCGGAATTAGAAAGAAAATAAATTATAAATTTGAATGTGGAAGCGAAATAATTCAGAATACCCAACAAGATTACGGGAATGATCATTCTAGAATAACAACAAAAAATCAAATAAGTAAATGGAAAGTAAATAATTGAACATCTTATTAGCAACCCTCTTATGGATCGAGATTTGGTTTTTGATTCTTTTGATCTGAAATAATTAATAAAAAAGTGAACTACACTAACTCGGTAAAAATCATGAAAATAACTGATGAAATTCTTAATTTAAATAAATTCATTTATCATAAATAAAATAATTTATTGTACACTTACCGTAGCGAAATTTTCAAAACCGATATATAGAGGCAATAACACAATAATATCATAATCTCATATTCAATTAATCAAAATAACAACTTTCTCTTTTAACCTGCCTACTGGTATCTATTGAGATTTATAGGGATATCCCCACTACGAGTAAACCTTTATTCAACATTATTAACTAACCGGCCATCCTCATACTCCGTCCGTTATGAGCGACAAAAATACAATCCATCAATACCCTGTCCGGTATGAAGGTGAAATGGGTCGTCCCCATACCCTATCCGGTATTAATGTCAAAATACCAATTCTCGATACCCCGTTTGGTATGAAGCAGCGTTCACAGTAGGGTTTTCTATGCACCCGATCCATCCACCATCTCTCAGGATATCTAGTTAGGTTGTCATTCATTCATTCATTCACTCACTTAACCAAACAATTTCTCGTTTATATTTAATTTTCAGTTTCATAATTTAACTGTAAATCACGCAAAACTAGCAATACATACATTAAGAAAATACAACTGAATTATCTTACAAACTCTAACATATTGTCATGCATTTAAAACTGTAAAATCAATTAAAACAAGATAAACAGTAATAAGTAACCAATTCTGGCTCCGTTAGTAACTTGTGATTAATTATTGAGATTTTTTAAATTATACAAAATATCATATTATTTATAATTAAACTTCAATTCCATAACAAGGAATAGGGTGAGAGATTTTTACTCGAATTGATGTCCAAAATGCTAAGTTTTCAGTTACGCCTACTGGCGGTACCTAGGTTCCCTAATTTTTTTTTTGAGATTAAAACACGCACCAAGTATTTAGAAATATTCCCAAAAAAATCTAAAATTGGTGTTAGAAACCCTTTCTGGTCAATTTTAGAATTCCGACACGGCAACACTGACGTGCTCTGACAATAGCACCGCCACCTGCGGGGGTGGTTTGCCTCAAGCTAGCCGTTTTTGGTCAGTTTTAGATAATTTCGGCTGGTTTTATACTGATTCCTGTGAGAAAACATGTTACAGAGCCTTGGTTGACTGAAAAAAATTGAAAAATGAAAATTTACCAACGATGAAATTTTTCAGTGCAGCGGCTCCGCCGACTTTCCTTCGCGGTTGAATGTTTTTCTTCGATCAACTTGTAGAAAACAGAACGAATCTGATTTAGTCATGTGGGTGTTCAAAATCAAATTTCGAGCGATTGAGAGAATTTTTACTTTTTTTTTTGCGGTCGGAGGTGGCTCCGGCGCGATAGCGGGCGACGGTCGGCTTCCTTCTCAGCGATTGGTTCTTCTTCTCCAGTGGGCAGGGCCGGTGGCTAGGGTTAGAATTCGGTGTGAAGTGAGATATTTATATCCGTCTCCAAACGAATCTGAACCGTTTATCGCGATTTGATCTGAACTGTACGATCACGTTTAAAGAGGGAACGAATCTGGACCATCAATTGCATTTAATCGCGACCATCCAATCACGCCTGAGAAGGGAACAGATCCAGACCGTCCACATGCGCAGAACAAATTCGGACCGTCCGATCGCGGGCACGCGTATTGCAGCGTGGCCTCCCGCGTGGTACTGCATCAACGTGCCTTGCCATGCGGCGCGCTTCGGTTCATCGATGCTGCTGAATAGGCGGTCCTACGTGACAAAACTTTCTTAAATTGCGTTTTGACATAAATTTTTTTATTTTTCTTTCAAAAACATTCAAGAACCTAAATTTTTACCAATTTTTTTCAAAATTGTTTTCAATTTCATTTTCCACCTATTTTTCTTAATTTTTACATAAAATAAAAATTCATAAATTTAAAAATTATACTTTATATATTAATTTTAAATATTTTAAAATTAATTGCGGGTATTACATTTTCATTATTTAATCTCATTTTTCTACAATTTTTTTTCTAATTTCCTAATGTTTTATACATGCATATGTTTCCTTATAAAACTAATTTTAATAAAAATAAAAAAGGGCAGAATTCATACATTAAACATATGATCTTAGTAGTTAATTAAATTGATTATCTTAAAAATCTGAATTGGCAGCTTTCTCATTTATTGGACCTACTTTCTGAATACATTCATCATCATCATGTCTTCAAAAGATCATGATATTCTGTATCTACATTATTGGCCACAAAAACAAGCATGTAAAACTTTTTTTCTCTAAATTTATAATAAATCATTAGAGTAGAATTTAATTTAATTTAATTTAATTATTATAAATTTATTAATATACTAGTAAAATTTAAATTTATGACCTTCAAATGCTTACAATTTTAAAATTATATTATTAAAAATAAAATACAGTATTAAACTAGAATAATAAAAAAATAAAAATTTTAAACTACATTTTTAATATTTTACATAATTTTAATTAATTATTTTAAAAATTTAATAGAACAAGTAAAATTATTTTGGATCAATATTTTTTTTTAATAAGCTGATAAACATAAATTAATAAAATTTACACATCTTAACGGATTGATTTCAGATATATAAATCATGAATGATTCATCTTAAAGTTACGACAGATCTCATTTTTATTAATTCATTGAATGCCTTCAATTATTTTCTCTGCCTATAAATATCAACATTACACACATTGCCTCCCACAAGAAACTAAACTACAAATCTCAGTTATATCTTCTTTGGCTTCAATTGGAGGATGAAGACGTTCTTCGCTTTCCTCTTTCTTTTCTTACTTCTCTCGGTATGCATTTCTTTGAATAGTATTTTACAATAAATAACTATATATATATATCTCGTCATTTTACTTATAATATTTTCACACCCATTATAATTTGCTCAAAGTACTTTATAATAACTTAAGAATTAGAAGTGGGAAAAAAAAGGTAAAAGGGAATATGAAGCTTGAGGCAACTCATTGTGAAGAAATTCACATGCTCCATTTTGCAAATTAAAAAAAAAAACGAAGGGAAAGCTTGAGTACTTCAAACGACCTTTTAACATTTAAATTTTTTTGATATTATTAGTGATTATTTTGTAACAATAAAAACTTATTTTTGTTACTAATTATTTGTTTTGTCTTCTAAATCATGACAGTTCTCTAACACAATGGCAAGAAAAATTCGAAGTGATTATCAGAAAGAAGAAATGAAAGATGATTGTGATACATTGAAAAATTTAAATAAAGAAGAGAAATTCTTTGTTAAGAATTTTGAGCCGGAGTTAGATCTTTCAATCTATCATGACGATCATGACGTTGACGTTAAAAAAGAAAAGTCATTTAACAGCTTCAAGTCAAAATCAGATGTTCCAATCTATTATGGTGATCTTACTATTTATCATCATACAAATGATTTTGGATCAAAGTCATATGCTACAATATATCACGATGATGATCTGAGTTTAAAACAAGAGAAAACGTTTGTGAATGACTTTGAAACAAGCTCCGATGCTTCTATTTATCAGGGATGAGGGGAAGATGAAAGGAAAACTACTCGATAATGGGTTACGACTTTAGTGCTTGGTAAGCAGTCATATATGTATCAATAACAAGTGCAAATAATTATATGTAGATTAAGTTTTCTGTTGTATATTAAGTATTTGCTAGTGATGCTTTCATGTCTATCAATAATAAATTGTTCCTTATTGGTTATGAAATAAAATGTTTAGTTTGGTTTGTAGTTAGTTTTTCTTATTTAAATAGTGCTGGAACTTCAATAATGTTATAATTAAGATATAATTTTATATAAAGTAAATATTATTTACATAGACCAAAAAAATCTTATAAAGATGTAAAAAAATTAGTATACTTTATCTTTTCGTGAAAGATTTGTATGATGAATAAAGTACGAGAAATAAATAGATAATTATAAACTTATCCGATGCACAATCTCAAAATTTTTAATGAATTAAAAATTTTAAAAAATAACTATTATACTTAAAAAAAATTAATAAATAAATATCTTAAATATTATCATTTAATTCAATTATATGTATTATCAGTATAACTAAATATATATATATATATATATATATATATATAATTATCATACATATTTAAGTAGCAGTAATCAGTTAAGATTTTTTAATTAAAATAGTATAATTTTTTTTTTTATAGATCATAATAAATTATATATTATC